GAATCAACGCACACGGGCTCTTGAGATCCGCTCGCTACGAGGAGAGCATCTCTTCTCTGTGATGTGGGGTTTGGGGAAAGGCTGACTGGGAGTTACTCTTATTTTAAGGATTTATTTTGTGGATTTTGTGCTATTTGTTTTGTGGATTAGGTGCCTAGGTGAGTGAAGGCCAGTGACTGTAGGCAGAGCCAGATTGGGCAGGGAAGCCACCGACAGACGAATGCCCAGGCCCCGGGCCATCCACAGATGCGACTTTCGAGTAGGTGAGGACCTGGCATCTGTGCAGAGGTGGGAGCGAGTGCTGTAGGGGTTAGCTGGGCAGCACGGGTCCTGTGCTGCCATATGGCCCTGCAGACTGAGCGCTCTTCTGGCTCTGTCCCCACTGCACTGTGGGACCGTGGCGAATCGCTCCTTGACTTTCTGTACATGTTTCCCTTAGCCCCCCCTGGCCCGTTCAGAGGTAAGCTGCTCAGAGACGGGTTGTCTGGGCGGTGTATGCCATCTCCGTGGGGGCTGAAATCACCCCCATCTTAGAAATACCTACTAAGAATTGCAAAAGCTACAAAGAGGGACGAGCACATGGAGAGTCTGGGGGCAAAGCGCTGTGGGAGAGAGCAGCAAGCCCGTTTCAGAAGGCTGAATTCCTCGCATAGACTGCATTTTCTGCCTGGGGTGTAGTGTTGCTGGCTGGCAGCCTTTCCAAGCTCGCGGCCTCCTGCACGGATCAGGCTGCTGGGAGAGGGGGAGAGCGCAGAGTTTCGCCATACTGCGGTCGCCCCTGGGCTCGGGGCTGAAAGCCCTGGCGCACACGGCTTGGCTCCAGCTGGGTTTAACATGTCAGCGGGGAGGGAGCTGCGTGCCCCATCCCTGAAGGCGCAGAGCCTGGTGCTTTGGCATGGTGCTGAGGGCAATTTGCTGTAATGCTCTTCACCTTCTCACCTGCAGTAGGTAATTTTTACTGAGTGGCCTATTAAGGTGTTCAGGGTAATCAGTGCAGCAGGGCTGGGAGGTGTTTTGTGGCTCAGAATGCTTTGCAAGCTGAACCCTAGCTGAGGAGTTGAAAATATCGAGTACACATCTGTCGTCTTTGTTTCCCTTTTCCCCTCAAGCATCTTCTTTCCATGCCTCCCTGCGTGAAAACCTCTCACTTCACAGCACTTCTGCAGTAGTCCCTTCCATCAGAACATGTTTCTGGGAGGAGAACAGCCCCTCCTGAGCATCCCTCTGGCCCTGGGGTGGGCAGTGTGTTGGAGCCCGCCTTGCAATCGCTGTGACCCACACACACGTCTGCGCAACGCGTCAAGAGTAGCAGGACCTGCTTTGCAGTCCTCTCCTTCCGCAGCAGGCATGCCTTGCTCTGGCTGATTCTCTTCCTTCCCCCCAGGGCCAGCTGTTTGCAGCACAGCTCTGGGCCTAGGTTGGGTTGCGCTGTAGGTACCGGACATGTTCTGCCTCCTCCGATCCACCCTGGTGCCCCTTGGGATGAGAGTGGAGGGACACAAGGGATCACAGCACACTGTGGTCTTGGCCCCAAGCTGCTGCAGAGGATGTTTGTGGAGCAGCGATGAGCCTGGCCAGCGAGTCCGTCGCTGGAGATCCAGGGTTCTTGTTTAGTCCTGCAGCAAGGAAACCTTTTCACTGCGCGTCTTGTTTTGGTGTTGCTTTCTGTGCACAAAATCCCTGTTCGTGTTCCTTGTCCTCTCCTTCCATTGGGAGACTGCAGGCTGCTTCTTTCGGAGCTTGCAGAGGTGATTTTTTTCAGCCTGTCCTCAGCAATTCCCACTATCCCTATCCTGATCCTGTAAAAGGAAGATGACCGAGCTACTCAGCCTGTGAATCCCACCCCAAGAGTTACCACGAGAAAGCCCTAACAGGCAAAACAAGGATTGCTCTGCGCTGCCAGGGCTGAACCTTCGGCACTCCGTGAGCTCTCAGCCTTTGCCGGCTCTGCCGGGCGCTGTGACCGTTTGGGAAGCGTGGCTGTTCCTGCGTGCTGCTCGGAGCAGCGGGGACGCTGCGCTCCCGAATCAGGGTTGCTGTTTAGTCACATTCCTCCGCATCCTCATGAGAAATCTGTCACGGCTGCATTTCTTGGCTCTTTGCTTTTGAAGAGCAGCTCTGGAGCCCGGCACGGCTGGGTGGAGGTGAAGGGCGGGCTCCAGTTCTCAGCAGGGAATTTCAAGCTTGCAGGTGATGGTGAGGAATAGCCCGCAGCCCCTTGCTTTGGGGCAGGTTATTGTTGGGGTAACCCTGGGGAGCCCGGGAGGCTCTGTCACCTTTTGTATGCCTTTGCACTTCATGCCAAAGTGTGCAGAGGTAAGGCTGGTTTGCCGAACGTCCTGCATCTCTTCCCAAACTGTACGAAATACGCATACGTGCAGCCGTGAGGGAGAGCAAAGGGAGCAGGGAGCTGCCTGCTGGGATTTATGGAGCCTTATAGCCGCTGCTGGTGACAGCGGTGAGGCTATCCGTGCACACCACAGAATCCCAGCATGGCAGGGGTTGGAAGGGACCTCTGTGGAGCGTCCAGTCCAACCCCTTGCCAAAGCAGGGTCACCCACAGCAGGCTGCATGTCCAGGTGGGTTGTGAATATCTGCAGAGAAGGAGACTCCACAACCTCTCTGCTTAGGCAACTCCACAACCACATGCTGCTTAGGCTCTCCAGTCTCTGGAGACTGGTCTAAAGCTGCTGTAAACTTTGGGACCTCATTGTACCAGCTTAGATGATGCCACTCAATGACGAACAGAAGAGAGATGGGTGACCTGACATGGAGCGGAGGGAACAGGGATGCCTACAGATTTGGTCTGTTTAGAAGGGTTCCTGCCTCCCGTCGTGACCTTCCCGGGTACGTGACTCTTCAGAGCCTGCCAAAGTATTCTCATTTACACTTGTAGGATGAGAAGAGAGTAACAGGAAAGAGCGTTAAGGGTATCTGCTGCCAGGAGAAGGTTGTTTTGATGATGCCATCCTGAACATGCACTGGCATTTGATGGAGTTTCTTTTACACACTTGGGTTCAGCAAGTTTTATTAACATGGGCTTAAAAGATCCTGTAATCTGTGGAAATTACTTGATGTTAAAGTGGTCTGCAGTGTATTTTTGAAAATACTAAAGCAGTTGGCTGAAATGGGGCCTTCCATATTAATGTATTTTTCAGATTTTTCCAGGAAAACATTTTTCATTGCCACTTGTATTGAATTGAAAAACTAGACTTGGCGGACAGCTGGTGGGAGAATTCAGTCTGTAGCTGTTGCGGAGAGCAATGAGTTGCTTTAAACATGTGATAACTATTTAAATTAAAAAACCCACTAATGACAGCTGAGAATATGCCGAGGTTACAAGGGTCATGCAAAAGTGTTTAATTTTCAAAACTGTACGTACTTTCTCAAGCTAACACTACAATGAAGTGTGTCTGTGTGTGCACGTATGTTTGTGTGCGCGCATGCAATGCAAAGAAAACTTTAGTTTTGGAGTCCTGTGAAGTCCCAAGCAATGATGGAGATTCCTGGGAAGCAGTGGTGGGACAAGCACATGATTGTGTTGGAGGATCAGAAGGTCACTTGGGGTCCTTAGAAGCACAGTGCTGTGCTTGGCCCAGCAGTCAAGCCTGTTTTCTGGCTGAAATTTATGTTTATTTTGCCACATTCAGGATTTCTGGCACTTGTGTTACAGCATTGCTGGACAAATTTGTACGTCAGGGTGGGTTTAACCGCAAAGGCGGTTTAACAGAGACTTACTGAAAGCAGGAGCCAGATCTTCTGGTGGAGAAGAATACAAGCTTTCTTCCCCCATCAAGGAGCCTGCATGCATATTCAAAACAAAAACCGTGTGACTGAGATGCCTTCGGGTTATGCTGTCGATAGGACAGATGCTGACAGCCCCAGGGGGAGGGTTTCTGCTCTGCTGAAATGATCAGCAGGGTTTTGCTGCGTGCGTGGAGGGGGAGGAAGATCAGGCAGCTGCATATGAATGACGGGAAGGGTGCAGTCCAAGAGCAATCACAAACGTTAGTGCTTTGTCTCCGAAGTTCAACCCCTCTTATCCTGAAAGAAGCAGAAGGACAGGGGGTGAGCCTTGGACAGCAAACAAGTGGCCTGGCATGTTTGAAATCCATCCTCCTCCTCTTAGCAAGGTGCCTGTGTCTGCATCCCCTTGGCTGCATCTCGTCTGCTCGAGGAGGATGAAGGTTTGTGCAGGCAAAGCTGAGCACTGTGGAGAAGGAGGATCATGACTCTTACGGTCTCTCGCGCTGGTCTCAGCATTGCCAGCCTGTGGGCAGTTGTTTAGTGTAAGTGACTTGACATCTGGCTTTGTTCTTCCTCTTGCCTTGTTTTAATTTCCTGTGGCTGCGGGAGTGCCGCAAGGCAAGGGGAAACTGTCGTCTCTCAGGGTTGTGGCATTTCCCCTCTTGTTTTTCTCGTTCTGCGTGTCCTTCCCAAATGGAGCAAGTGAACAGACAAGGAAGCAATTTAGGAAGGCAGCTGCTGAAACCAGCTAATTGCCTGTCTTTCTCTCACACTGTTGCCTTAAAGGACAACATGAGGCAAGAAGCAAATTTGCACATTGAAACCTTTCAGTTACTGTTGTTAGGACTGCTGAGGGTCTGTAGGGCATGGGAAAGTGAGGAATCACATTTCAAGCCATCTTTAGGAGAGAAAAGCCTTTCTCTGAACTCATGCATCATAACAGGTTTGCATTTCTCAGCGGAAGCACTGAGTTACTAACTTTCCTTCCCTTCTTCTTTCCCCAGCATTATCACGCTTTTTCCAACAGCCGGAGTCACAGACAGTGGAAGAAAATGGCATGGCCCGGTTTGAGTGTCGGATTGAAGGGCTGCCGTCCCCGGTCATCACGTGGGAGAAGGACCATGAAGCTGTTCCAGCAGAACCCAGGTGATTCCCTAATTGCTTTCCTGGGTCCAGCTTGAAAAAAAGCGAAACAAGACCTCCCCAGGGAGGCTGTGGAGTCTCCTTCTCTGGAGATATTCAAGACCCGCCTGGACAAGGTCCTGTGCAGCCTGCTGTAGGTGACCTTGCTTCGGCAGGAGGGTTGGACTAGATGATCCACAGAGGTCCCTTCCAACCCCTACTATTCTGTGATTCTGTGATTCTGTGAAGACCTGACCATTTAGGATGTGGAAATCCTTCATGAAAAAGCAGAATGAAGAGAGAGAGGATAGGCCAGGTTTGGACCTGATAAGATGTAAGAGGAGGAGTTCAAAGGCCGCATGGAAACAGGTCCACAAAACACTTAAATCAACTTTCACCCAAGCATCCAACCCACCAAAAAAAACCCAAAACCAAACCCTTTATTACTGATCTCTTGTTCTGGAACCTTTGCTGTGATGGAGCAAGTGCTCACTGTATCAAAGATAGTTTCAAGGAAATTAATTTGGTTAGAAATTGGCTGATAAACAAAGTAATTGAGACTCAAACCTCAGTTCCACAGTGGCCTGAGAAGTCTGTATGTAAAGATGCACGAGTTCAGTACAGTTTACATCAGCCATTTACTCCCCATCCAGAGCATTGGAGGTAAACCCAGAAGAGTGTGCAGAAGGGCAGACAGCAGCGTAAAAGTGAGCAGAGAAACCTGAAATTGCACAAGTTCTTACAACGCAGAGCCTGCAGCCTGCGAAGGCCAGTGTGCATGTGGAACAGGGCACGGCAGATTGTGGTGAGGACTACTTTTGGCTTGTCCACTTTTGTGAAGTGAGGTAGAAGGCTTTGGGGATTGGGGCCTGACATGAGGAATGCTTCTGAGGGGGTACAGCGCTGGGGATACTGGGCGTACCCAGCCAAACCCCGTGGCGTGGCTTTTCTTCCATTTTGGTTGTGGTTTTGGAGACGCTTGTTTTCTTCGCTGTTTACCTGCACAGATTTGTCTTGGGGTTAATGATTCTTCTGGAGCACTGTGTGTGCTCTGTAACCTGGGAGGTCTTTCCATTTGTTTTGTTCCAATGTGCGGAGGTCATCTAGTAAAAGACTTTGGATTTTCTTTTTTGGGAGGAGAAGATAAGAGACGATCTTTTCCTTAATGAAAGTCAGTTACAGGCATGAGAAGAGAATACACCATTAGCTGACTGTTAGTTGGTCTGTAGACATCACTCCTGCAGGGGATTAGTGACCGTATGTCCTTTAGTTTTTAAAAACCCATTTTCTGTTCTGCAGAGGAGATGATTCCTCCCAGGGAAGTGGAGAGGCAGGAAAGAGGGGTGGGGTAAGGTTTAGGAATGATTTTGCAGCAGTGACTGTTTTTGTAAGAATAACCGCTTATATCCTTGAGTCTGGAGTGTGGCATCTAAAGGTTTATAGGAGGCTGTTGCTTTGTAATGAGAAGAAAATTAATTAATTAAAAAAGAAAGAAAAAACAAAAAAAAAGGAGTTGCAGAGGGAAGTGTGCCGTAGATAGGGCAATGGCTTTTTAATGAGGCAGCTCGATGGATGTTGTGAAATTACTTGCTCGGAGATTGCTTTCAACACGGGCAGCCTGAAAATTGTTTTCCTTGTAAAAGCCAGACCATAATCTCTGGCTGCAGATCTTGCTTTTTAAATCATGTTTTAGCTAATATCCTTTTTCAGAAGGATTTGCTTTTTTGTTGCTGTCTAGTTGTTGTTGTTGGATTTATTATAACCGGCTTTCGAAGGAATTCAGTGAATTCCAGGAAACGTTGGCTGCCAACCAGAGCTCTCTGTTATCCTCACCCCATCACGCCTAAGGACCAGATCTCAGGCCAGCCGCTGATTACTGCGGACTCCCTCCTGTGCGCCCTTCTGATGAGCCTGTGAAAATGCAATCATTTGGGTAGGCAGGCGTCAGGATGAGGATTTCATATTCCAGAATAACAAGGTTAGGTGCCTGTATAAAATCAGGTGCTGGGGCTGTAGGTACAACCCTTGAGAGAACACTTGCTACATCAGTGTTTATGATTTCTTTTAAGAGGGGTAGAATAACCATGGCAAACTGACATTGGGGTTTTTCTCTCTCTTTCTCTTCCTTCTCTTTTCTCTCTCTTTTTCTTCCTTCTCTTTTCTCTCTTTTTTTTTTTCTTCCTTCTCTTTTCTTCCTCTGTTGGTCTTGCCTTTGAGTGCTCTCTTTGGCCTTTGCCCTTGGGTGCAGGTTCTAGCCTGGTGCCACCTTGAAGGTCCTGAAGACTGAGTTTAAAAACACTGTGACAGCCCAAAGGGTGAAGAAGTGCTTACTGATGTTTTGAGAATGCCTTTCCTGCCCTGCTGAAGTTCAGGACAAAATCTAACATTTACGTGTGAGGCATAGAAGTATTTTGCAATTCTGGCTCTGAAGTACTTTTAAAAACCATGGTCTGAAATCTGCAGCAGCTGCTGAGATGTGGCTTGCAGGATTTCTCTAGATTGCAGTTGCTTTGGGGTGTGTGCTGCATCTCTTCACGCAGTCTCTTCTCTGTTTTAGGTGCTGGCTAGGTTTCACACCAGCCTCCAAACTGCTGGTTTTTTTCTCTAGGGCCAAGAAGAGTAGTTGCTAAGAACTGGAGGTCTTTGGAGGTCTGCACATAAGCACACACCCTACAGATTACATGGTCTGTAATCACAATACCTTTTCCCACATTTTGGCAAAGTGAGGGTTTTATCTGTATGGAGAGTTTACTTCTGTCGTGTGTCAGGAGAGCCTTAATGTGGCTCACGGTCAGGTACAGGGCTCTTGAGCTGTGAGCAAAGGAGCTTGCAGCTGCCGAGTCTGCAGCCAAGCCGCAGGTTCCTAACTCATCCTAAGGACTGGTGCTTTAGTCTGTTTTGTGTACCTTCAAAAGGCTGCCAGGAAGGGTGTGCCAGCAGACGAAAAAGAAGAGAAAGCAAGAAAGGGAATTGGACTGTTAATGCTGGAATATTCTCTGCTACATACACAGCGTAGTGCCCTGAGCTGTAGCATTGCAGGGTTTGGACACAAGGCAGCGGTGCTTGGTTTCAGTTCTTGAGCACTGCACATGTAATCGTCACTGAAGAGGTAGGTGAGCAGCTGTCGGCCCCGTGGTGCTCCCTTCTCTGCCCGTGCTCTCAGGGACAACTCTGCTCAGGGAGGGGCAGAGAGGGGAACAGCTACGTATTTGTGCCCTGCCGCTCTCGCAGCTTGCTGCCTGCTGGGCCCTGGTCTGAGCGTGCTGCCCTTTAAGCAGCTGCGCGCTGCCAGCGGGGCCTTGCCTTTCGCCCCCACTCAGGGCAGGCTCCTCTCAGGTCCTGGCACTGTAGCTGTCAACGGCAAAACTCCGGAGTACTGAGGTTACAGCATTTCTGTTTCTCCCAGGGCCTTTGTCTGTCCTTTGGTTTTTGTGTTCTGCTCAATCTGTAGTGAAGGTGAGCAGACAAAAAGAATCTACCCTTTGTGTGGAAGAAAAGCTAGCATGAACTGTGTGTTTTCAATCATCAGGCCAACTTTGCTTCCTTGCAGAGAGCCTGAGGATCGAGCAAAATGCCCTTGCAGGCTGCCTGGAGTCTTCTAGTTTGGGGTTGCCAGGAGCCTGAAGAGCTGGAGGCTTTGTGAGCAGCTGGGAGAAACTGTGGATAGAGAAATCCTGCCTTTCTTCCCTCCTTGCTTCCCTGGGAAAGCAATGCTCACCTCTGTCGGGTGTTCCCTGCAGGGTGTACCGCATTAAGTAGATCTCTACTGGTGGCATCGCCGAAGGGACTGTCTTGAACTACTGTGGATCAAGGCTGTTCACTCCCATTGCCTCCAGCTCCTGCCCTCTCTGGAAACGAAGTGGCTTGTTTTCCACCCTGGAGAGGAGCTGGGCGTGTTGGCTGAGTGTGACCGCGGCCATGGTCCTGAGCAGCCTGGTCTAGCTGACCCTGCTCTGAGAGGGAAAGACCATAGACAATTTTTAGAGGTCCTTCTCAGCATCAGTGAATCTATAATGCGTAACTGGAGTGTCTTTTTGTGGCTGGGAGATGCCTTGCCTAGTGTTTGAAATATGTTGATATTAATTACAGACTCAAATAGCAGATGCACGACAAAAATAAATATTATCGCAGCGGGAGGCTTTCTCTCCACGGAGCTGAGAGGATGCAAATATTTGTCTTCTGTCTCTCGAGGCCTGATGAGGCATCCTGATAAGGGCTTTCTGGGTACCACCTCCTCTGAAGTCTCTGGAGCTTGATCCTGAGAAAAGTGTCTTTGTAAGTAGCAGCAGCATGGCTTTAGGGGTGCGGGGCAGTTGCCCTTGTGTACGTGGGAAGCTGCAGCAAGTCTGTGTCCATGAATTGGGCTGTAGGATTGTGCCAGGAGAGACAGTATGGTCACTGGAGGAGCTCTTTTAGCTCTGCTGTTCCTTCATCAGCTGTGAAGAGGACAAGAAGTGATGAGCTCAGATTGCAGCAGTTGAGGTCCAGGTTAGACACTAGACTCTCAGCAGGGATCTATGTCCCAGGAACAGACCGCTTAGGGCAGGGAAGGTAGTTGGGTTACTGGAAATTTAGGATAAATGTTTGCAGGAGAAGGTGTGCTGTTGGTGACCGTGGCTTGAGTGCAGGATGGGTGACCTCTTAGGGTCCTCCTGGTTCCGTGACCCTCGCTTATGGCACTCCAGCTGTCTCAGCACCTGCAGAACCGCAGTTTTACTTATCAAGTATACTTATCCTGATCTTTGTGGATGGAAGGACTGGCATTCATGGTTATAGCTTGTCTTTGTGCTGTTCCTGTGGAATAGCTGCTATCCCTCCCCTTAGCAGTTGCCTTTGAATGTGTCCTCTTCATAATGAAGACTGATAACCCAGAGCTGCCTGTCAAAGCTCGGCAGCTCTGTTTATAGAGGCTTGCAATTAAAAATGGATCTCATATATAATTAAAAAGGATCACATAGGCTTTGTGCCTTGCATTCAAGAATAAAGAGGCTGCCATCTAGGAATCCAGGCAGAAAATGGAGACGCTGACAGCCAGCTCGTACGTTTATGCTAATTGCTAATCATCTCCTTTGTTCAGTAGAACGCAGCGAGGATTGTGTTCACGTTGTGAGCCGGGTAGCCATTTCACGCCGTGGCAGTGTTGCCCAGTAGCACCCCATGGGCAAATGGGGGGGTACGGAATGCCCGGCTGTAAGTTTGTCAGCTTGTGAAAGCCAGAAACTCTCGGAAGAAGAAGAGCAACCAACACAACCCAGGAATGCTGCAGCTTCGGGTGGTTGTATCCTGACTGCTTTGGGCCACAAAGCTGTGGATGTGAATCAGTTGGTCCCTTCATGTACTTGAGATGCAGCAGGGAAAAGATGATGTTCAGACTTCTTTGCAATGTATTTTTTCTCTGGCTGCCAAACCTTTATGAAAAGTGGTGAAACTGGCTGTAGTGTGTGCAAAGGCACTTGTACCCTTGGAAATGTCTGCAAATTTGCATACAGCAATGTGTATGTGTGTGTGTAGCTCGTTTATGCTATCGAGTTGGCCTGTGTCGGCAAAGCCTTGTTGGTCTGGTCTCCCAAAAGCAGATCCTGTGCTGTGAAAACTCCAGTGCTGCAGATAGGTCTGTACCTGCTGCTTTTTAAGAACCACCAGTTGGGTGGCTCAAAGGTTTGTTGGTCCTGCTCTGCTGTGATTACCAGGGTCTGTACGTGATACATCTGCAGGTGAAGAAGAAGGGGTAAAAGGGCTTGGAGTTGGTGAATAGCTCAGGTAAGGCGTAGCCTGTCTCACACTCTTCCTTTTGGTCACTCAGGTTTGTAACTCTTCCAAATGGTGTCCTTCAAATCGTGGATGTGCAGGAGAGTGATGCTGGGGCTTACCACTGCGTGGCAACCAACGCCGCCCGAAAACGCTACAGCAATGATGCCGTCCTCAGCGTCCTGAAAGGTAAGGAGCAGGCAGGAGCGCGTTGGGCCGGGCCCGCGTCTGCCGGATAGCCATTGCGTGGGATGGCAAGCGGAGCTGCAGTAGCAGTGATAATCACTCCTGCTGGTACGGCTCTACGCATGGCAAGGTTTGGCCCAAACTTGCAGAGAAGGCATTGTAATAAAGATTTCTCTTAACTTTATGAACAGCATAAGCAAGCTGGGTTGGGAGATGTTGCCAACCAGGAGTCGCAGCTCCCTGCCTGCCCCAGGACTAGGCAGCCAACAATAACAATAATGGGGTGGTTTCTCTCTGCGCCGAGGGATTTGCAAGTGGATTGTCACGGCAGGTGGATTTTAACAGCCCTGGACTCCTTCATGCTCTGGGGCTCTCGGAAGGGGTCACGCACTCTGCTTGCACCTTGGGGAAGTGCAGTGTTGTTGCGATCTGATCTCCAGTAGCCTTGGATGGCAAGACGAGCAAAGGGTGTCACAGACAGAGGAAGGTGCTTGCCCAAGGTAGCGAGAGAAACGGGTGGAGGCTGGAGTAGTTGGCAGGGCTGTGTCGACCCTGCGTTGCCTAGCAGAGTCCAGAGGAGATCAAGCACAGTGACACCTGACTGCCATTCTGTGTCCATGTCGCTGGCTTTTTGCTGAGCTGTTGGGTAGGCTCCAGAGATCTTTTTGTGGTATTTGGGAACGGCCTCAGATGGGATTTCTGCTGGTGACACAGACCGTTGGAGCAAGGCTTTGGACGTGAGCTGTCCTTCACCTCCCAGTCTGGGCCTCAATCTCTGAGCGCATTTTTCTCTGTAAACCAAGAGTGCAGTGGGCAAGTCTGGACATGAGAACATAGCTGAGAGCATAAGTGCGGTGGGGGTCTTGACTCCAGGATCCTTTCCAGCGTGCCTGACTGCCTCCCTGGTGCTTTATGATCCCCGTCCTGCAAGTGGACAAGGTCACCAGGGCAGGGAGACTGGCTGAGCTGTCCCTTCTCTCGGGACAGTGCCCCTCTGCCACGGCTGTCTCCTGTTTGTGCTGAGCCCAGGGTATTCTGGAGGCAGCTTTAACCTTGAAAGCTCCGAAATCCTTCCCAGCCCCTTTTGTCTTTGTTTAGGATTGCATTGCTTGGCATTCTGCTCCCAATGTATTTTCAGAGAGATGGCTTTGCTGTTCATCCATCAGCAGGGAACGTAATTAACTGTGGAGCTTGAGAACACACCTCTGATCAATGGATTGTGTCGTGGAGGTAATCTGTGTGGAATCTGCAGAGAATTCGTGAGCGGTTGAACGCTCTGTATCTAATTGCCAGCCCCTGCCAGATCCTCTGTGTGCTTAATGAAGCACAGAGGCGAGGGGAGCGCTTGCTGTGGGCAGTTCCACACTCCAGAGACAGCTCCCGTGTTGGGTCTGGTTCGCTATTGATAAGTAATATTGATCAAGCTACAAAGGTGAATATGCTGTCCTTGGCATCATAACTCGTCCTGCATAATTGTATCTTGTAACTGCAATGTTTAATCTGCTTTGCAAATGGAGGCAGTGAAAGAGGTTAAATGGGAAGCGTTCCTTCTGGAGCGCCAGCCGGCCGGAGCAGATTTCTGCCTGGAGTTCTCACCCAAATCTCGCTTCTGCAGCACCACACCACCCGCTGGCTGCAAAAACAAATATGCGAGGTTGAGTTTTTCACCAGATTGAGCTGATAGTGATGAAAAACATGCCTGTTAAATCTCTGAGGTTTTTTATAATTGGGGAGAAGTATCTCTGAGACAGATGGGAAACTGCAGTGACCTGTGCAGGCTGCAAACTCCTCCGTGAGTGACTGGCATGATATTGATCCTTTTTTGTTTCAGCACTTCACCGTCAGAGGCACATTTTTGGATGTCTGGGGTGGCTTGAGGAGTCTCTGCCGCCCTGTTCAGAAGCAGCTAATGGTAGCTGGGGTGAGCTGGTCAGGAAGAAATCCTTTGCTGGTTGTAAAAATCAAACTAAACCAAACCCATGGAAAAAACAAAAAACAAATACAAAGCCCTATAAGAACAATGGACTGAAATACAGTTATTTAGTGTTGCTCGAGTTGCTTATTAGGAAATTTCAGGGACCAAACTCCTATGTGTCTGCAGGCAGGAGCAACTGAACTCCTTCTTCCTTCCCTGCTGATGGCTAGTGAGTCGTCTGAGCTGAGGTAGGATGGGAATGCAGTCTTTCAGTCCAGCTGCACGGCTGAGGCTCCTGGAAAAGGTTTGTGCAGTGGGACCTAGTGTCTCCTCACCAGCTGTGCCTGCAGCTTTGGTGTCCCAGTGACAGCACTGGGCGGTGGCGTGTGACGATGACGGAGTCTGTGTGCTCGTGACAGATTTCGGGGCTGTGCTGGTTATAATGCAAGCGCTGCCACTTGCACTGGGTTGCCAACCCTGAGGCCTGGGAACATCTCGTGTTCATACCTCTGCCCCTGCCAGACAGCACTGGCTGTGCGTAGCGAAAGAATCCGTTTCCCTGTCTG